TCTTCTTCTTCTTCTTTCTTCTTCTTCTTTCTTCTTCTTCTTCTTTCTTCTCCTTCTCCTTCTTCTTCTCTCTTCTTTTTTCTCTTCTTTCTTCTTCTTCTTCTTTCTTCTTTCTTCTTCTTTCTTTTTCTTCTTCTTCTTCTTCTTCTTCTTTCTTTTCTTCTTCTCTTCTTCTTCTTCTTGTTCTTCTTGTTCTTCTTCTTCTTTCTTCTTCTTCTTTCTTCTCCTTCTTCTTCTTCTTCTCCTTCTTCCTTCTTCTTCTTCTTCTTCTTCTTCTTCTTCTTCTTCTTCTTCTTCTCCTCCTCCTCCTCCTCCTTCTTCTTCTTTAATCTCTTTTATATTCTGCATACAAGTCCGTTATCAGGTGTATCCTTTGCAAGTATTTTTTCTCCACTCTTTGCCTTGTCTTTTCATTATTCTCTGGCAATATTTGGATAACCAGAAACTTTTAATTTTGATATCAAATTTGTCAATTTGTTCTTTTTGAATTTTGCTTTTTGTGTCTTATATAAGATATTTCTGTCTAACTCAAGGTCACAGAGATTTTATCCTATGTTTTCCTATCTTATGTTTTATTCCTATGTTCTTCTAGAGAAGTTTTATCATTTTAGATTTTTACCTTCAGATTTATAATCCATTATAGGTCAATTTTTGTGTGAAATGTGAAGAATGGACCAAAGTTCTTTGTCATTTCTTTAATCTTTCTTTCTCTTTTGCATATGGATAGCTAATATTTTCATAGCCATATTAAAAAAATTATACTGAAGTGGAATAAGTGAGATAGATTTCTGCTTTTTTTGTGAAAAACAGTTGTCTGCATATGTCTGGTCTCACTCACATACATCTGGACTCACTATTCTGTTGTGTTGATCTATTTTCTATCTTTATACCAATACCAAACTATATTAACTACTGTAGCTTCACAATAAGTCTTGAAATCAGTTAGCATTCACCCTTCAACTTTTTTCTTCTATTGCAAAATTTGTTTTTCTGTTTTAGGTCCTCTGCATTTCTGTATGAATATTAGAGTCACTTTATTAATTTCTACAGAAAAGCCTGTTGAGATTTTTATCAGAAATGCATTTACCTTGGGTAGAAGCAACAATATAACAATATTTACTATCCCCACCCATGACCAAGGCATACTTCTCCATTTATTTAGGTCTTCTTTAATTTCTTTCAGCAATGTTTTCTCATTTTTAGTGGGCAAGTCTGTCCTATTGTTAGTCAGATTTCTCCCTAAGTATTTTATAATCTGATACTATTGTAAAAAGTCAGCATTCTGCTAAACACCGAAGGGAATAATCTTCAACTTCCCAGGATTCTCCCTGTGGGCAGTGTTCTCCTTTTTTGGCACTCTGTCCTGCAAAGTGGCCTTGGTCTCCCTGAACCTTTGGCTTTGTCTGTTCAAAGGGAGACAACAAGTCTACCAAGTGTTGCCTGAATTCCCTGTCCATGAGCCACAGCCTGGAAACTCTCTCAAGGCAGTGAACTGGGGCAACCTTATGGCTTGGCTCATTTATTTCCCATCTCTCAGGGCAATCTCTGTCCTTGTTTCCTATAGTTTGCTTCAAGTATTTTATCCGGTCGTTGTTGTTTCAGGCAGAGGGTCAATCTGGTCACTGTTACTCCATCTTGGGCAGAAGCAGAAATCTATCTCATAAATATTTAAATATCAACTCTCCCATTTTAAGAAACAATCAACATTTAAAAATATTTCTTCACCCTCAGCTACTGCCTTTTTTCCTCCTCCAGCCATGTTTCCTGGAAAAGTTGTCTGTATTCCATTTCTTTACTCAGTTGACTCCAATCTAGCTTTTGTTCTCCCTTCACTGAAGCAAATGTTTGTTTTGTTTTGTTTTTAAGTTTATTTAAGTTAATCTCGACACCCAATGTGGGACTCCAACTCAGCCCCGAGATCAGGAGCAGCATGCTCTTCCCACTAAGGTGGCCAGGTGCCCTGAAGCAGTTTTTAAATTAAGAAGAGCTAAGACTTTTATGTCTCTAAAGCTGGTGGACAAGTCTCAGAATTCATCTTACTTGGCCTTTCCATCTATTTGACCATTCCCTCATCCTTGGATCTTCTCTGTCTGGATTTGATAACACCATGCTCTTCCACTCTCCCTCTTTTGACATCTCTTTCATGGGTTCTTTTGTAGGTTCATCCTCATCTATCAAGGCCAGTAAATTCTTGCATCTCTCTAGGTTCTACATAGACCTCCTATTTTCTCTATGGTCTATATTGCCTCCCTGGTCCTTAAAGACTTTGGCTGTCTCTCTTTTGACCTTAAACTTTCTAGTTGGGTTCTACTTTCCAGAGGGTCTCTTGGCTCAGGTGGAAGACCCTGCGGGAAAAGCATCCCATGATGGGAACCAAAACTAACCCCTCAAGCATAACAATTGCCCTGACCCAGTAAGACACAATACTCTGTGTGACTGAACCCAAGGCAATGATTGACCTGACTTTTCCTGCCCATTTGTGCATACCCAGCCAATTTTGACCCATATTTTCCTGTAAACCTGGAACTGTTTTTGGCATTTTGGAGACAGTCATTGAGATGCTCCATCAGCTATCTTTCCCCCATGTTGGACTCAGTGAAATAAATTTCTATCTTGTTTCATTGTCACTCATTTCTCTGACTGTAGATTTTGTCAGCAGCAAGTGGCTGAACCTGGTCTGTTTGGGACCCCTGGAACTGGGGGTCCTTGTACCCCTGCACCTGGCTACAGTTCATCTCATGAAAATTCACAACTTCAAATATAATTCAGTTGCCTACTCAACATCTACACATAGTTGCTGAAAAATGCATCATAAACTCAATATATTAAAATTAAACTCACAGTATTCTCCCAAATGTGGTCTTCCTTTCTTCTTGAAAAAAAAAAAAAAAAGACAGTAAAGGTAGATTATGTTGTGTTTCTGTGAGTGGCATTATCATCCATCTAGTTATATAGGTCAGAAGCCCAGAGAGCATTCTTGGTCCTTTCTACCACCTCAAGCTCCTTATTTCATGTATTACCTCTATCTTACCTCTTTGTGGCAAACTACCATTTCCTATTAGTGAATTGTACTGACCCATTACTGAAGAGGTTCATTTTGCTATCTCTCCTAGGGGCTGTTTGCTTCAATATGGTTTATTTTTATTTTTTTTCAATATGGTTTAAAAATTAAAACAATGATATAATATTTGGAGGGAAAGAAAGAAACCACATTTATATCATTTCTCTTATGGTATATTGTTTTAATTATTATTTTTCTTATTTATTTATTTATTTTTTTAAAGATTTTTTTTAAATTTTTATTTATTTATGATAGTCACAGAGAGAGAAGAGAGAGAAAGAGAGAGAGGCAGAGACATAGGCAGAGGGAGAAGCAGGCTCCATGCACCGGGAGCCCGACGTGGGATTCGATTCCGGGTCTCCAGGTTCGCGCCCTGAGCCAAAGGCAGGCGCCAAACCGCTGCGCCACCCAGGGATCCCTTATTTATTGTTGTTAATCTCTTACTGTATCTAATTGTAAATTGCATTTTACCATAGGTATGTATGTTTAAAAAAATCTAGTATATATAGGGTTTGATACTATCCATGGTTTCAGGAATCCACCAGAAGTCTTGAAATATATCTCCTGCAGAAAAGCAGAGGGGAATGGCTACTATACAGAACTCAAATTTTAATATTCCTGGGACAGGGGGTAAGGGAAGGAGATAAGTGGAAGGCAAATAATTCCTTTTATTCAAGTGACAAAGAAGTTGTGACTTCACTTCCTGTATAGCCTTGGTACCTCACTCTTGCTTGTGTAAGTTTTGAGTCCCAAGGATTGTTGATCTGGAACAGTTAAAAATTTTTTGTACGGTTTTGTGGCTTCTTTGCTAATCTGATAGCTTTACAAGTTTCCTGGCCTTCATTCTGTTTCTTCTAGTCAGTGTTATATGCCAGTAACTATATGTAAATCTCTTCAGTAAGAGTAATTCTCTACCTTGATTACTTACTGTGCTTCCTCACCAAGTTTATGAGTTTCTTTGAAGTGAGCTGTGCTAATAGGCTTGGGTGAAAAGGCCACAACCCTTCATCCCATCTTTCTTAAAGGTCAATTTCTTTTCTGAGCTTCTCTCTTTCTTACAATATTTGTTGAAGGCAGCCCACAGTAACCAGCACACACTAACATCCGGGCTCTTTCTGGGCCTTGCCCCTCGAGCTGTACTCTCGGTCTTCATGGGGCTGCCTTCTGAGTTAGCACAGGCAAGTGTGTGCCAAGTACTTTGCCTTTGGATTACTCCAAATAATCCAAATGTAATCCAAATCCAAATGTAAATACCTTTCCCAGCCTTCATTACCAGTTCTCTTGTCATTGCACTGCTAAGCCAATATCATGTATCCTAGAAGGGTTATTATTTTTTTTTTTGAGATGGCAACACTCTATTTCAAGGTCCAAAATCTTGTGCAAGTCAAGGTATGCTAATTCCTCTGTAAGACAGTCCCCAAAATTTCTGTCACATAGCACAGTGAAATTCACTTGTTGCTCCTGTAGTGGCCCAACGTGAATAGTCCTAGTCCCGTGCTTCTCCTGCATGGCCTTCCTCCAAATTGAGCATTAGGGACCTCATTCTAGAGGCTCTACCAATTCTCACTTTCTCTCTCTCTCTCTCTCTCTCTCTCTCTCTCTCTCTCTCGATTTTTCACATGGTTTTATTATCTTATTCAAATAATTAAAAATTTTGTTTCATCATGGTAAGTATACTCTTTAATCCCCATCACCTATCCCCCCCCCGCCTCACCTCCTCTCTGAAAACCATCAATTTATTCTCTAAGAGTCTGTTCCTTGGTTTCTTTTTTTTTCTTTGCTCCATTGTTTTATTTCTTAAATTCCAATGAGTGAGAACATATATTTGTCTTTCTCTGACTGACTTATTTCATTTAGCATTATACCCTCTAGCTCCATCCATGTTGTTGCAATTGGCAACGACACTCTTTTAGTCACTGTTATATGCCAGTTCTGAAACGACATTTCATTCTTTTTTATTGCTGAGTAATATTCCATTGTATGTATACACACTACACTGTCTTATCCATTCATGTATCCATTCATCTATCAATAGATGACACTTGGGCTGCTTCCATAGTTTGATTATTGTAAATAATGTTGCAATAAACATAGGGATGCATGTATCCCTTGGAATTAGTGTTTTTTTATTTCGGGGGTAAATACCTAGTACTGCAATTACTGGATCATGGAATAGTTCTATTTTTAAGCTCTTGAGAAAGCTTCATACTGTTTTCCAAGAGTGGCTGCACCGGTTTGCATTATCCCCAACAGTGCATGAGGGTTCCTTTTTCTCCACATCCTGGCCAACACCTGTTGTTTCTTATGTTGTTGATTTTAGCCATTCTGACAGGAGTGAAGTGATATCTCATTGTAGTTTGGGTTTGCATTTCCCTAGTGATTAGTGATGTTGAACGTCTTTCCATGTATCTGTTGGCCATCTGGATGTCTTCTTTGGAGAACTGTCTGCTCATGTCTCTTGGGGCCCTGCTATCTCTTAATGTCTCTCTGAATCTTCTGCATCCACCTGGCAAGGAATACAGTAAAGGTTTCAGTGGCCCAGGCTCAGAGGTGGGATACATGCTTCTGTCAAGAGTAACTGGGACTTATTTACATGCTGCATCTCGTTGGAGTAAATTGAGCAGATATAGTCTTGCTGTGTTCCTAGGAAGAAGAAATGGGTTTGCTGAACATCTAGCCAGAATCTGCCAAATCAAGAACAATTTTCTTTTTTTAAAAGATTTTATTTATTTATTTATTTATTTATTTATTTATTTATTTATTTCAGAGAGAGATCAAGAGAGAGAGCATGAGTAGTGGGGAGCTACAGAGGAAGAGGGAGAAGTAGATTGAGTAGGGACCCTGGGATCATGACCTGAGCTGAAGGCAGATGCTTAGTTGACTGATCCACCCATGTGCCCCTCAAGAACAATTTTCATTATTATTACAAATATCTGAAAATGAGAGCACATTGTCCCTGAAAGTTCTTGGTGGCAGATAACCATCTATCCAATAGACCAAAGGCAGTTACGTGATGGGAGCAAGTTGGACTAGATGATCTTGGAGGTCTCTACCAGCTTCCTGATCAGAGAAGACAAAAAGTCAACTAATAGCCACAGCAACAAAAGATAATTAATATGTTCACAAACCATGGTCCCATTTGACCTTCTATTCTTAAAGCCAATTAGCTGTTTACATAAGGTTCTCACTGTGATGAGAGGTAATAACAAATGTCTAGTGATCCTGGCTAGATTTGTGAATTTCAGACATACTTGAGGAAATGTAAGTGCACTTTGGTTTATTATTATCTATAAGCAGGCCAAAATATTTACTTAATAATTGCCTCTGGGAATTAAAATATAAACCAAACCACAGTGAATACATTTACTAATTGCCAGCCTCTGTTGAACCCTTAGCTACGGAGTTAACACCATCTTATGAGTGGGAGCTGCCTTAATAAAGCAGTCTTTGACCTATGATCACAAAATATCAAGGGGTCTCATAAAAAGATTATATTTCACCACTCTAAGAATTCGGGGAGCAGTTTTCTTTAAAGGGAGGCTTTATTGTTCTGAATTCTTTTCTAGCCAACTACCTCTGTCATATGAAAACTTGGTCATTATGCCACTCAGCCATTATAAGCACAAGAAAATATGGCAAATGCAGGAAGTTCCTAAAAGGAATAGAAGGAGTTGCTGCCCTTTTTATAGTGTTTTACACTACACATTTAAAAATATATTTTATGTTTATATATTTTATATTTATCTATTTATATTATAAAGCACACTTGTTTTTTTCCCGTCATCAAAAGACTATTGACTGAATTTTTAGTTGTACTAAGTGCATAGGGCACTGGAACTTAACAAGAGTAAGAAGTAGTTCTTTTCACCAGGAGCTCTTAGTCTAGTAGAGGGGTCTAAGCATGGGGGAAAATGTGTTGGAAATATCTACAAAGTACAACAGGGCATAAAACATGAAGTGATTATTTCCAACTATGGGATCAGGAGGCTAAGAACAGAGAAATTTCATAGAGAGGGTAATGATTGAGCTGAATCACTCCTCTTACCTAATGACAACTTCCCAGGCAGGTAGATACTATTCCCTTCATTCAGATGAAGAGACTGAGGCTCTGTGTAGTCATATGACTTGTCTAAGCAGAGTTGGGAGTTGAATCTAGGTCCCTTGCCCTTTTTGCCCCATCACACTTATACAAACTATATATAGGTTGCTAAATTATAGAGACACAGCAGAGTTATAGGGCCCAGTTTTAAAGCTCAGCTGATAACACTAATATCTGCCTTTATTTCCCTCCTCATTAGGTTCTTTTTTTGGGACAAGGCTAGTGAAGTTCTGTTTTGAGGAAACAAATCCTTTTGGCTGGAAATTCTCATGCGGGCCTCCCCATCACCATCATATCCCTGCCCCTGTCCCCCTGCCCCTCAGGTTCCCATTCATGGGACTTCGTCTGTGTTTCACCATTTTACCCTGGCTCTGAAGTCCTACCCTGGCCCCAAGGAGTCAGCTCCTGCTCTGACCTTCTCTAGTACTGATTGACATGGACTTGAATTGTTCTTCAGTTGATGAGTCTTACCCTGTGCCCCCACCCCCACCCCACCGTGCCTCCCAGGCTGTAGGCCCCTCAGGCCAGGACCTACAGTGTCTCCAGCCTCCTAGTATTTGGGCAAGGGCTGATGGTTTTATTAGGGAGACATAAAAAGCAATGTACTTTTCTCCTGATGTTGGGATCCCTGGGTGGCGCAGCGGTTTGGCGCCTGCCTTTGGCCCAGGGCGCGATCCTGGAGACCTGGGATCAAATCCCACGTCAGGCTCCTGGTGCATGGAGCCTGCTTCTCCCTCTGCCTGTGTCTCTGCCTCTCTCTCTCTCTCTGTGTGTGTGTGATTATCATAAATAAATAAAAAAATTAAAAAAAAAGAAGAATATTCTTATTGGGTAAAATAAAAAGTTGGCAGCCTACATTGAGTCCTTCAATTGCATCTGTGTCTGCATGTACACGTGCACGTGTAAATCCTATTGCTCTGTGAAATCCAAAAGTTTAGGATCCATTGCCCTAGTGGGTGGTTCCTAAATCTGAGGGATGTAAGAATCGTTTGGGACAATAAAAAATAGATTCTTGGTCTTTGTCCCAGAACTAAGGAACTAGAAAATGAGGGCCTTGGGGACTCCATGTTTTTTAAAGTTTTAAAAAAATCTGCAGATTATTCTGACGGTGGGTGGCATTCAAATTATGCCTCAAACAATTGAGACCGTTTGGGCAGATGATGATGGAGGGAAACAGCTTTCAGAGCAAGAAAAAAGTGTGAGCAAAGGTGTGGAAGTGGAGAAGCAAGTGCGGATGTTGTTTGGACTAATAAAATATAGCTTAATACGAAAGATTTCCTGAATACTAAGTAGCTTTTGGCTGTTTTAGGCAGATCATACAGTACAATTTCCATGTTGTAGAAAGCTGTAAATTTTTTTGACAGAATGATTGAGAAGGGCTTGTGGGAGCAGGGGCAGGCCCTGGAGGTTTTCGAGAAGAGCTACAGGAGCTCAGAGTGTGATGGGGAAGGGAGCTGTTGAAGGTAGAGAAACCAGTGAGGAGGCTGCTCACAGAGCTCCAGAGGGGGCTAATGAGGACCTGCATGGAGGTGAACACTAGTGGCTTTGACGTCAGCTCCTTATTTTGTGGTCTGGCTATGAGTCAGCTGCTCCCTGCTCTTTGTTGTTGCATGTCTGTCCTTTACCAAGCCGACTGAGTGCCCGTATCTAGGCTGAGTTACATGCCCCCCAGAAGCAGGAGAGGTGCCTCTTCACTTTCTACAGAGTCCAGGCAGAGCAGCTGGAAATAAGGTATTTGATGAATGTGTCCACTTAATGATGATCTTCCCACATAGCCCTTCTGGCCTGAAAAGATCCCCCTGAGCCCAGATATCTATTTCTCTGGATCAAATTATTGTCCTAAATGAATGATGATAGAGAAATGGGGCCAAAGAAGAGCCTACTAATAATTCTGAGAGAGATCAGATTTAAAGAAGAGGCAATCCTTTAATTCCAGGTGATATTGCTTCCACTGCAAACCCTGGTGTCCACACCACCATACAGAAGAGCCCTGGCTGCGCTCCCCAGCCACCTGATCCCCAGAAGAGGCAGGGAACATTAGCCGTTCCAAAAGTGGGCATGATGGGCTGGCTACTGGGGGTCAGGTGGGGCTGAACACTTAATTTTAGCCACAGCCTGCCTCTGTCTTTTCTGGGAGCGATTGGTGTGACCAAGATGCAGAGAACCCTAATCCTATCTTGGCACAGAGGCAACCTGACATTCGCCAAGGCTCTTCCACCCAGAAATTCTGCTTTATAAATAGAGGAACTAGTCTGCAGGATTGTAGCGAGGGTCACTGAAGTATATTGCATGGTGATAGAGTGATGGGATTTCCAGGACAGAGGGGCATTCTTGGCACTAGATCGAGCTTTCTTGTCTTAGGCAAGACTGCACTGTGGGCCGATTGAACTTTTTTTCTGTATCACCTGCACTTCCGTTTTAGTGGAGGAAAGCAGTATATGGATACAAAATCTAGACTGAGGTCTAGATTGATCCCTAAATCTCAGAGATCTTTGGGCAACGGAAATTGTGTATCTGTGCATATTAACCCATAATTGTGCACTATGGGTACAAATGGTTATAAATCACAGTATTGTATAGTGGACATTAATTATTTGTGATTGTCCTACAACTCTCCATTCCTCCTTACATTTTGGCAACTTACCATGTTATGAATCTCCGCTTCCCAAGGCAGAAGCCAGAAAATCCATACAATTACAGACCTCAGCCAACTATGGTACAGTCACATGATCTAGATTCTGGCAATCAGGCATGCCCTCACGAGGCCTGGATTCAGAAGTAAGAAATATGAGAAGATAGCCACACATGAGTGAGCAATCCTCAAGCAGGTATAGTAGCAGAAGTCTCTGGATCTTCGGGAGTGGTAGAGTTTCTGGTGATAAACTATTGTGAGACTAAGTAGATGGACATTTTTTTGGCTGCTTACTTTCAGGGTCTAGCTCTCTTGGCCTCCAGATTCGATGAATTACCTAATATTCTTAAACCTTTTTTTCCCTTTATTTTTTTTTAAAGCAGTTCTTTTTTTTTAATTTTTTTTGTTTTTTTTATTTATTTATGATAGGCACACAGTGAGAGAGAGAGAGGCAGAGACACAGGCAGAGGGAGAAGCAGGCTCCATGCACCGGGAGCCCGATGTGGGATTCGATCCCAGGTCTCCAGGATCGCGCCCTGGGCCAAAGGCAGGCGCCAAACCGCTGCGCCACCCAGCGATCCCCTTTTTTTCCCTTTAACTTAAAGAGCCAGAATAACTTCTATTCTTTGCATCTAAAGACCTGACAGAGGCACTGATTGGTACTTGGAATGGTTACTGGCAATGAATGCTCAAGGAAATGGGAACCCACTGGTTGGTTATCTGAAGTGCTTGGATTTGAAGGCAAGGCAATGCTTGTTTAGCTGGGGTTAGAGGAGGGGATGCTGGTAGCCCACAAGGGACAGTGATGAAACAATTACATATATTATCATATGACCTACCTACCCAAGGCGTTGGTGGCCTCCATGTTGGAGGGCCTGAGGAATGTGAGTCCTGTGGGCTGAGCTTTGGTGCTTTTAATTCTGTTGGAAGTTTTAAAGAAAATAAATGTTTAGTCAAGAGTTAAATTTTTTAGGGATCCCTGGGTGGCGCAGCAGTTTGGCGCTTGCCTTTGGCCCGGGGCGCGGTCCTGGAGACCCGGGATCGAATCCCACGTCAGGCTCCCGGTGCATGGAACCTCTCCCTCTGCCTGTGTCTCTGCCTCTCTCTCTATCTCTCTGTGACTATCATAAATAAATGAAAATTTAAAAAAAAAAGAGTTAAATTTTTTAGCACATGAGACTATCCTGTGACCAGGTAGCTTCTACGCTATCTCTTACAGCCATAGGGCTAAAGGAACTGAAAATAAAATTCATAATGGGACACCAAATTCTAATAATAGGTTGAATTCATTGCTCTAAGAGAATTCTTATATGGAAGTTAGGACACTGCCTGGGAAGGAGTCAGGCATGAAGAATTGGTATGAGGACATTTGATACATCTCAATTCTCACAGTCTCATCAGGAGAGGATTTTCTCCCTTCCTCATTGTCTATTGTTTCTGCATAATGCTATCATAGAGGTAACATTTGGTCCTTATGGGCTATGCTAACCACTTCGTACTGCCTTCAGATCTATAACTAAAGTCAAATCCTTGGATATACCAGGGAGGTGATTACAAAGTCAATTTGTGGAAGTTACAAAAATGATTAGATTTTCCTAATTTCTATGGTTAAAAATTGGGAAGTACACACGGCAAAAGATGATAAGAGGCTGGATGAGATAAGAGTAGAAATGTAATCTTAGATAGGGATAAGCTGATTAATATAGGTTCATTTAGTGGAGATTTTGAATTGAATGTGTCAGCTCAAATAGTTGAGAGCAACTTTAATGGTTTCTCATTCAGGTGGTTAAAACTTAGACTCACCAAAGATTTATGCCAAATAAAACTTGAGATGTTAGACATTCTTAGGGAAAATGTGGAGAGAAAGAAATCCCAAGGCTACCAAAAGAAAAGGAATCGTGGAGTCAAGTTATCATTGTGACCCACTCATTAACCCATAACTATGTTTTTGAAATAACCCAGAAGACACTCTATTCTCTAAGACCTTAGTGAAGAGAACACCAATGGATCAGTGTTGTATTGTGGCTGTGGTTTTCTGCAGTCTGGGGTTATATATGGAAGATATTTCTGTTGAAATCAGCTCTTTGAATGAAGATTACAGAGTAGTATAGTAGCAGAGGTAGCAGCATTTATCCAACAAGAGGCAAGGCAAGATTGGTGCATATAATATATAAGTCAAGGTTCAATGGGAGATAACAAGGACTTTGGCTCCTGGCCAAGATGAAAGAGCCAGAACCATATTTGCCCTTCCATCTGAAATATTTAAAAATGAGAGAAAAAATAAAAGACCATGGTTTTAAAAATTGAAAATCAGGTAATAAAGGAAAATTATCTCTGAGACATAAGAAACAAGGGAACTCTTATGATGATACCAACTTACATTCAGGAGACAGTTTCTGAGGAACTCTCCTTTAATGCAAGGAAGCAGACCCAGGCAGAATTTTGTAACACCTCTGAACTGAGAAGACAAAGCTGGGACTGTAGGAAGAACAAAATGATTAGAGTTTGCAGAGCAAAGTACCAAGAGGAAACACTTGCATCAAGAGAAAGCTCTGCAGGGCTATAGAAGATCCCCCCTTGAGTATAAATAAGAGTAAAGATTAGCAAATATATGTGAAGAGACTATCCTAGGCCAGGGAAAGAACCACATTAAAGAATTAGAATGAAGAATGTTTGGAACTCACACAGAGCTCAGGATAGTTCCTGTTCTCACCTGTCAGGGTGCCAAACTTCTTAATTCATGAAGCATCAGATATAGTCTTCAGAAGGTTTTTGCTTGAGTAGTGGGGAAGTATTAGTCTTAAATGTTGCTCTGACACCAACGAAATAAACAAACACAACACTAGAGAGGATCAGATTATTTCCAAGCAATTTAACTGGATTGCAAAAAAAAGATACAGCATATTTACAGAAAAATAAAATATTCAACAGCAAACATAGTAAAATATACAATACCTAACATCCAATCAAAACGTATAGATATACCGATCAACTGGAAAACATAGCCTGTAATGAGGAAAGCAGAGTTAATTAAATGAAACTGACTCAGAAATGATACAGAAGATGGAATTAGAAAATAAGATTTTTTAAAAAAAGATTTTATTTATTTATTTTAGAGAGAGAGAGAGAGAGCGTAAATGGGAGCAAGGGCAGAGAGAAGGAGAGAATGTCAAGCAGACTCTGCTCTGAGCATGGACCTCAACATGGGATTTGATCTCACAACCCTTAGATCATGACCTAGCTGAAATCAAGAGTCAGACCCTTAACAAATTGAGCCACCCAGGCACCCTTAGAAAACAAGATCATTAAAACAGTCATTATAATAGTTATAATGCCTGAGATGAAAAATTTGCTGGATCAGATTAACAGCAGATTAGGTATTACAGAAGAAAAGGTTAGTAAACATTTAGAATAGAAACTATCCAAAATGAAACATTTAGAGCAAACCCATAGAATGTCAGTGAGCTGTAGGAAAATTTAAAGCAGCACAATATATGTGTAATTAGAGCCCCAAAAGGAAAGAAAAGGCAAATGGCAGAAAAAATATTTGAAGAAATAATGGCTGGACATTTTCCAAATTTGATGAAAACTTTAAGTTCCCAGATCCAGAAAGTTCAATAATTCTTTTTTTTTTTTTTTGAGAGAGAGAGAGAGAGATGGGGAAGGGGCATAAGGAGAGGGAGAAAGAGATCCCCAAGCAGGCTCCATGCCCAGGGTAGAACCTGACTCAGGGTCCCTTGACCCTGAGATCATGACCTGAGCTGAAATCAAGAGTCAGACACCCAAACTACTGACCCACCCAGTTGCTCCAAGTTCAATAAATCTTAAACACAAAATACATAAAGAAAACTACACCAAGGCATATCATAATCACTTACTTAAAACAAGATAGAAAAGAAAACAAAAGTAGCCAGAAAAAATAAAAACAAAACCATGTACAGAAGAACAAAATAACATTGACTGCAAATTCCTTGCTGTAAACCATACAAGCCAAAGACAGTGGAGTAACATTATTGAAATAAAGGGGGGAAAAATCAGCCTATATACCTAGCAGTTCTCCAAAAATGAAAGTAAAATAGACTTTTTCAGACATCCAGAATCTGAAAGCATTTATCCTAATTTATCATTGTAAGATAGAGGCCTATCTTACAATAAATATTAAAGAAAGTCCTCCAGGCAGAAAGAAAATTAAACCTGTTGGAAATTAATATCCAGACAAAAGAATGAAAAAGGGCACTGGAAATGATAACTACATGGATCAATAACATATATCTTTGTCTATTATTTAACTTTCTTTTTTTAAAATTTTTATTTATTTATGATAGTCACACAGAGAGAGGCAGAGACATAGGCAGAGGGAGAAGCAAGCTCCATGCACCGGGAGCCCAACGTGGGATTCGATCCCGGGTCTCCAGGATCGTGCCCTGGGCCAAAGGCAGGCGCTATACCGCTGCGCCACCCAGGGATCCCTTATTTAACTTTACAAAAAGATAACTGACAGTGCCAATAAGACTAATCACAATTATTATGGGGTTTATTATATGTGTTTACTATATTTTTTTATTATATGTGTTTAAATAAAAATACAGATACCAGCTGAAAATTTGAATCTCTACAAATGCTTCAAGAGGACTGGAAATGGTAACCATGTGGATAAACATACAAGACTTTTTTCTTTTTTTAAGAAAACCTTTTTTGAAAGTAACTAAGTGGGGTGTGTGGGTGGCTCAGTTGGTTAAGTGTCCAATTGTTGATTTTGGCTCAGGTCATCATTTCAAGGTCATAAGATTGAGCCTCTGCACTTGTGGAGTCTGCTTGAGATTCTCTCCCTCCACCTCTCCCCCCACTTTCTCTCTCTCTCTCTCTCTCTCTCTCTCACGCACACACATACATACACATGCTCTCTCTCTCAAGATAAAAAGGTAGTCAATAAATTGTTATAGACCAATATATACTACCTAAGTATCTATATAGCTATCTCTTTCTATCTATCTATCTGAGTACATTATTTTATATATCTATATCTATCTACATAGACAGAAAGAGAGAAAATGAGTGAGAGAGAGATCAGTTATGTTACTAGGCACATGAACGTATAGCATTCTTATGTCCTCTGATGAACTGACCCTCTTAATCCTTATGAGATGACTCTCAAGTGAATTTATAAAGATAATCTAAAATTGGGATCCAACTGAGCATCAAAAGAGGAAAAATGAACCAAAAAACAGGTGGAACAAATAGAAAACAAATAGTAAGATGACTCAAATATAAACGGTCACAACACCCCAATTAGAAAGCAGAGATTGTGAGGTTGGATAAAATGCCAAGATCCCACTATGTTCTGCCTTCAAGAAACCCCCTTCAAATATAGATACAACTAAGTTAAAAGTAAAAAGAGGGTAACTGTGTGGATCAGTTGGTTAAGCCACTGCCTCTGGCTCAGGTCGTGATCTTAGGGTCCTGGGATTGAGCCCTGCACTGGGCTCTCTGCTCAGTGGGGAGTCTGCTTCTCCCTCTCCCTCTACCCCTACCCTCCCTGTTCATACTCTCATACTCTTTCTCAAATAAATAAAATCTTTAAAGAAAAAAAAGAGCAAAAGGGTGGATAAAGATACATCATGCTAACACTAGCTAAACGAGAGAATGGGTATTTTAATATCAGATGAAGTAGATTTCAGAACAAAGAATAGTACCAGGGATAAAAAGAAAGTATGCTCATAGTGGTAAAGGGGTCATTGTATCAGAGGATGTGCCAATCCTCAAGGTTAATGCACTTAATAACATGGGTTTAAAATATATGAAGCTGGGGCACCCGGGTGGCTCAGTGGTTGAGCATCTGCCTTTGGTTCAGGGTGTGATCCTGAAGTTCCGGGATCTAGTCCCACATCAGTCTTCCTGTAGGGAGACTGCTTTTCCCTCTGCCTATGTCTCTGCCTGTCTCCCTGTGTCTCTCATGAATAAATAAATAAAATCTTTAAAAAATAAAACAAAATATATGAAGCAGGGGCACCTGTGTGTCTCAATCAGTTAAGCATCTGCCTTTGGCTCAGATCATGATCTCAGGGTCCCAGGATCAAGCCCTACATCGGGTTTCCTGCTCAGCAGGGTGTCTGCTTTTCCCTCTCCCTCTGTCTCTCCCACCCTCTCACACACATGCACACATGGTCTCTCAAATTAATAAATAAAATCTTTATAAATATATGAAACAAAAACTGATAGAACTATAAGGGGAGATAGACAAATCCATAATTATGGTTGGGGATGCTTCCTTCAATAATTGAAAGTAGACAGAAAATCAGTAAAAATGTACAACAACTTCCTTTACCTAGGTAAAATATATTTTAGTCAATAAAACAAGTCTCAATAAACTTTAATGGATTGAAATAAAATTTGTTTTCTCTCTACAATGGGATTAAATTAGATATCAAAAACAAAAAGACTACTAAGAGAATTTCCAAATATTTAGAAACTAAATAACACACAACTAAGCCATGGGCAAAAAAAAAAAAAAAAATCCAAGTTAGAAAGTATTTTGAACTGGATAAAAATACAACGTGTCCAGATTTGATCCAAACATATCCCTTTACGCAGCTAAGGCAGGATGTAAACAGAACTTTATCTAGCATCTGTATTAGAAAAGGCTTAGTGACAAGTAACAGAAACCACTCTACCAGAAAGAGGTTGAACACAGTGATTTAGTGCTCACAAAAATCCCTGGAAGAGCTGAGGGATTGACTTTTGGAGCAAGCAGTTGAGCTTCTGCACTTTCAACAATCAGAAAGATAGGGAATCAGGAATCACCTCTATAAATGATAGCTCTAGAAACATACCACCAATATCCACCACCCATGGAACAATAAGCCACCATCATGTAACAGCTAACTCCAGAATCAAATGATGCCCACTAAACCCATACTAGCAAAACACAAATGCTCCCCCAATCCTGCCTCTTAATGACCATAAATTTAAGGATTGGATATTGGGAATCCAGTCAACCCTGACAAAGAAAAATTTAATACAGCCATACAAATGCTATGTAGCTATGCTTGCTAGGGGAATCAATGGAAGAAGCAAATGCATGGTTTCTACCTCAATTTAGCCTTCCAAATCTTATGCAAAAACATCAGGTTGGTGGAACCCAAATTACATCTAGAGTCACAGCTTCAAAGGTATCCAAGAAATGTGGCTTTCCATTTTCCAGCCTCTGTTGTATGAGAAAGAGGGTGAAAGGATGGCCGCCATAATAACTACCATGATCGCATAGGTCTGAAGTGGTAACTAGAATGATCGTTAGCGTTAGTAGTTGCTCCTAAGGACTCAAGGACTGAAATAGTTGGTCAACTCATTAGTGTTTTATTTCAACTCTAAAAGAGAGAAGAAGAAATCCTAGGTCTGATGAGCAGAGGTGTGTCTCTAGCAACTACAATAGAGTGTCTGGGCACTCACCGAATTCCCAGTTCTTACAGTTTGGAACACAGACGATTCTACAACCTCAAGGACATTACAGATGTAATGATTTTAAAGACTTAAAAGATGCAGTTGTAGTGAATCTTATCATGTCCCTCATTTAACTCACCTGGTTGGTTGGTATGCGTAGAAAGATTATCTTGGTAGTCAGCATTTTTGAGTATCCTTTTGTTTTGCTAATTTCCTATATTTTATGTATGTATGTATTTAAAGTAGGTTCCAGGCCCAATGTGGGGCTTGAATTTACAATCCTTAGATCAAGAGTTGCATGTTCTTCTGACTGAGCCAGCCAGGCATCCCCTAATTTCCTATATTCTAAGACCTCATATTCTAAAAAGCCTACTAAAATGCAAAAATGTGATCTAGGTTCTACCCATCAGATAGATTCTACTGGGACTTGAATTTAGAAGTAGGCCATGGGAGGAGGTAGCTCGAAGTGGGGGAATGATGTCTGCAGAGCATGCTTGGTGAGGCTAGCTGAGTTTTTCACGGGTAAGATGGTAGATCCTATCACCATGATGTATGATTTAAATTTCTTATAATTTTGGTAGAATCTCTGACATCTGGTTCCAGGCATTATTGGTACCAAACAGCATTTTGTGGAGATGTTTCTACTAGGGAAGCCATTGAGTATGGTTGACCAGACTAGGATTCTGGCTCTCTGGCTCCCCTGGAAGTTCAGTTAGCTCATAATATCCCTTAACAATTCCACACATTTTTTTTTTTTTAAATAAACTAGCCAGGCCAGACCCTGTTGTTTGCAAACACAAATCTGACTGGTGCAACAACAAACCTTCTGGTATGCATTTTAATCAGGCATCTCAGTGGAGGGGTGTGGAGTTTATGGCTTTCCTAGTAAGGAAAAAGAGAGAGAGAGAGGGAATTATTCTCAGAAAATAAATACACAGTAGGGGTTAGGCAAGAAGGAGTTTTCAGGATATGTTCTGGGTTCTGTAGACGCTTCACATAATTTTTCAGGCCATCTATACCAACTGGGCTTACAGAGAAAACAGACATTCACTGAGTCTCTGAAAGCTCCTCCACCATTAAAGAAATCCCAGCTATAATTCTTTAGTCAGATACATGTCCCTTACAAACGTTTCCTCCTGGCCTGTGGCTTGCTTATTCATTTTCTACATGGTATTTTTTGTTGAGGGAAGTGTTTAATTTTGATCAAGTCTAATTTATCAAGTTATTTCTTTTATGGTCATTCTTCCTGAATTTTGCTGAAGAAGTCTTCCCCTACCTTTTGGTCGTAGAGATATTCTCTTAAGTTTTCTTCTACATGTTTCATAGTTTTACCTTTTTATGTTTAGATCTCTAGTTCATTTAGAATTAATCACTGTGTAGAAAATGCAGTGGGAGTTCATCGTTTTCCACATGGATATGTATTTGTTCCAGCATCATTTGTTGAAAGACTTTTTTCTCCCATTGGCTTGACTTAGTGTCTTTTTGAAAATCAAACTGCCATATAAATGTGGGTCTCCAGCAGACTTGTCTAAATAATTTTATTGACCTATTTGTTTATCCTCGTGCCAATAACAATAGTCTTGATTATAATGATAATACATTCTGAAGTCAGATATTTTGTCTTTCAACTTTGTTCCCTTTTTAAAATTTGATCTTTAAGATGAAATTCTAGTAAAAGCAAATTTTAAGACGTATCATTCTATTAATTTTAACACATATATACATTTATATGACCATCACCACACTCAGAATACAGAACACTTGCACCTTTTTCCCACTCCTGAAATCTGATAACCACTGATCTGTTCTTTGTCATTATAGCTTTGTCTTTTTTTTTTTAGCTTTGTCTTTTAGAATATGTCATATAAACAGGATCATATCGTATGTGTAAATGTTTGAGACTCAATCTCAAATTGAGTCATTTAGAAGCGACTTTTTTCATTTTAGAAGCAGCTGCTCAGTTTATACAAAAGCCCTAGATCTATTTAGGCTGAGATTGCATTAAATTTATGGATCAATCTAGAGTATTGCTATTTCAACAATACTGAGTCCTCCAAGTCTATAAACATGGTATATCTCTCCATTTGATATAGGTCTTTTAAAATTGCTCTCAGCAGTGTTATGTAATTCTCATTAATAGGTTTTGAATGCTCTTTGTTAAATATATGCTTAAATATTTATGATTTTTCACATTATTATTAATGGTATTTCAAAAAATTCATTGCCAGATTTTGCAGTAATGTATAAAAACACAACTGCTCTTTATGTTTTTCTTGTATCCTGCAAATTTAAAAAATTTACTTGTTAGTTCTACTAAGGTTTTTTTTACTATATTTTTTTACTAGATTTTTAAAGAATTTTCTATATAAACAATTATCATTTGCAAATGGAGACCATTCTATTTCTTATTTCCTAACCTATGCCTGGTTTTTTTTCCCTCA